GTGTTCCTCGTGAGTCAACGATTGTTCGAGAATATCAGATGACCTCATGTCACCGTTTCCGGTGGCCTGATGTTAATGTTATTATGAGTGTCAAGTGACCGTAGACTCTTCAAAGTGAGTATAGAATTCAAACATGAACTCGAGTGTTGCATCATCATCGATGGCCCACAGAGACGCTACCACTGCACGAGCTCCTGACGCTAGAAAGGCTCGACACATGCTAACCCACATGCTAACATGTTGACTTGTGTTAGAATTGGGCTGAAATAGCTTCGGGATCGCCTGGAGTACCACTCTTTATTCGACTTGTCCTTAAGGAGACTAGTTAGCTTTACAAATACTAGGGGTTTGCTACGAGCCTAACGTGCATCGAAGCTGACTAGAAAGACTTCCCTTAGTAGGTGTGGTTTAGAAGGATTTCCTTACTAGGCCATTCGTACTAACTTAGGTCCGTGCTTTCCAGTTCAACTACAACTACAGTCTTAGACTCGGCCTACAAACTCCTAAGTTAAGTCGATTCCGTGTGTGTAAGAACTGTCTAGGTTCGTCTATATATATATCTAAATCTGATTTCTTATTTACATTTTGTGGCAAGATAAGGTCACTACGTGGGGCTAGGTTTTGATTAAAACAGATGTTGGTTTAAGTTGTGGCTATAAGAATGGTAAATATTATATTGGCAATCTTGCTCCATAACACTTGTACAGGGCACGGAAAAATCACCTGATCCTACACGTTATCTTATATTTAAATTTGAGGATATGAGAAGCTGAAAATATATCAGTTGTCTTCTGAACTAAAATAAGGCAGCACTTGTCATTATAATGTTAAGAATGGAAAATGTCATCATTATGCTATGTTTTCAGTATTCTTTGAAAATTGATTGTGACATCTTCACCCATGAGAAAGAATGGTGCCCAGTAATACGGTTCGCTGAAGCCGGAAGAGTTCCTCATTTCATTCATCGCTTGCTGTAAACTTGCACTCGTGCTCATTCCGTCCATTAAGTGAGTATAGAAATTATCCATGAACTCCAGTGTCGCATCGTCATGGATGGCCCACAGAGACGCTACCACTGCACGAGCCCCTGACGCTAGAAAGGCTCGACACATGCYAACTACTCCTTCAGCTCTGATTTCACCCCGTCCACTGTGACAGCAGCTTAACACAACTAGCTGTGCAGGTACTTGAGTCTCCCGTACATCCGCCATGGTCAGCATGTAATCTTCTTCATCTGGGATATTTGTTGCTCTTACCTCAGGAGAAGGTGCAAGTGCTATCGTACCTCTAGTGAGACTGCCGTGTGCAGCGATATGAACAACAGATACTGCTTGTTGTAGTTTCTCTAGGACAGCCTGCTTTGTTGCTGCTTCGCCTATTAGTGGCCTAAAACGAAGTTTATCAGCTATTGCGATTGCTTCTGCTTCTGCACCTGGCAAACGTTCAATATCACGTTCTTCTCCATCCATCATTACCTTCCCAACCAAAGGATCACCAATAATCAAAGGCTTGGCATCACTGGTTTGGTCTGTTGGGAAGTCTTCAAAGTGCTTTAAAGCCGCTAATGAAGGAGCAAGTCTAATGCGCTTTGTCTCTGATAAATACTTTCCCGTGCGAGGATCTCTTAAGGCGGGAAAAGGCATTTTGTATAAGGGACCTTCAGGAATAATAACGACCTCGTCTTGCTTCGATGATAGTATTCTTTCACAGTCTAAGATATCAAATAGATCTTCTAGAGTAGATCCCTTGGTTTCAGCACTATTCTCATTAGATTCTCCTCTGTTAGAATCGAGGTTCAACAGTAATGCCGTTGCTTGATAAAGTGCCTCGTATTCTTCTTTGCTTCTTCGTTGTTATTTTTGAATATCTTCTTCTTTGTCCAAGGACCTGTTCTCACAGTCAACCACCTCACCAACACCCATTTCCTTAAACGACCTATCGACGTCTATCTGAAGGGAATGATTAGGACAACGTGAATAATGCGAATTTGTCTCCCCTCCAATAAAAAACTTCAGCAAAGCATCAAAACAAATTGTGTAAAAGGCAATGCTGAAGTCATTTCTTGAGACCAGAGACAAAACATCGCTGTACTCTAGGTGTTCGTCATTGCTCTCCTCTTGTTCCATCTTGAAGTTTGACATCATAAGATCTTTCAAGGCTCTTGCACGACAACGATCTAACACTAAAACCGCTTCCTCGATCTGTTTGCCTGTGATTAACAGTATTGCCAACAGCTTATAACTATCGATATATTCGTCAAATATGGAGATCTTGAATTCCTCACGACTACCAAGTGTGGTAAAGGTCGCTTCAAAGCATCGTATAGCTTCTCTTAGATAATGTTCTGCCAAGATCAGTTCTCTGTTCAATGAACACAATAATTGACCAAAGCCATGATAGAATAGGGATAGCTGCCCAGTAACAGAGCAAGACTCAGCAGTAGGTAGCCCTTGTTCGAAATTGTGTAAAGCCATGTCATTCTGACCCATCAAATGATACAAGTTTCCCATTTCTGTGATACAGAACAAGTTCACAGAACAATCAACGTTCATCTCTTTAAACAGCTGTAGGCAATTGATTGTTTTTACATATTCTTTTCTAGAACGATAAAATTTGTAAAGCCTCATGAAAGCTCTGGATTCCTTCTTTTTATCGCCTGTCTTGACTGCTTGGTCAAGATCCTGTAATAGCGCATCTTCAGAACATGTTGGTACCTCTATTAATTCCTTTAATAAGGGTGCATCAACCTTGTTTTGCAAACCAACTGTGCAATAAAGACTAGAACGAATTACATTGAAGTTTTCTTCAGCTTCTTTGTCTCCAAGCTCTGTAGCAATCGCCATGCCAGCATCCATACTCAAAGACGCTTCATTCAACTGCATCGAGTCTATATATGCATGAGCGAGACAATGATATCCGTCCATCTCAGTATTTTTGTCSCCAATTTCTTGASAGATCTTCAGGCCTTTGTTACMGTATTGGATGGCATTATCCATGCTTTCCTTATCAACTAATGTCCGGTATAAACACGAAAGACCTAGACATGCTTGTGCTTCAATCTTTTTCTCGCCAGTTTCTTGTGCCATGTCGATGCATTTCTTATAGTAATGCACTGCATCATTATACTGATCCAGTGTCTCATATATCTTTCCTAGATACAAAAAAGCATTTACCGCTGGTTTCTTCTCGAAACGAAAACGCTTCACGATATCGATGCATTGCTTGAAATTTTGAATGGCATCATCGTATTTCTCCAAGGAAATATATATCTCTCCAAGTAAGCTATAAGCCTGAGCCTCCGCACGTTTTTCG